CCCCAAAACCCCAAAACCCCAAAACCCCAAAACCCCAAAACCCCAGGACTAAGAGAAATTATTGAATAAATAATGGAGCTAAATATATTGGAGGATGAACTGCTGCTACCACTGCAGGAGGAATGCTCCAAGGATTACATCTCTCATCATGCGAAGACTCCTGAAGTAACCATGGATGAGTTGAACCCTTTTCAGAAATATCAGCTGAACAAAAGATTCCTGACTGCTCAAGGGCTTATTGCTGATGTGGTAGATTATCTTGACCATGTGACCAACTTCACCGATTCAAGAGATACCCTATTATTTCTATTGCTAGTTTCTTTTGTATTGTATACAATTCAGTACTTCTTCATCTATTTCCCTCTTCTGGTGATACTAAAGGTCATGCACAATATGACTAAAAAGCAGGAGTGCAAGGACAGAGAACTTAACTTGAAAAGAAGTTACCTAATAATCCAAAGAGTAATGAAAGACACTTGTGAACTCGTTGATTTCTACGACCTCTTCATGAGAGATTACCTTCATTGGGGAGATCGAAGGAAGACCATTTTATTAATCACAGAGATGGCTAAGTTATCCATCACAGGTGTTTCATTTATTTATGTTCCACTTAATGTTCTATTAATTATTGCACTTTGGATCAAAGTTCTCCAGAGATCACATTTCTTTTTCTGTCTGTTTAATGTAATTAAAGAGTTCAACCGAAATATGGTTGAGAGGTTCCTAGGTACTAGGTTTAGAAACATTCTGGACCCTCCATTGGAGGGCCTCATCGAAGAATTCAGGAAAGAAGACAACGGGTTTGGTAAGTTTTTAAAGCAACCTATTTAAATTCTTAATAGCAAAAGATAATTTTCTCCCTTTTGAGCTCATCCCAAAGCCAAGTGACGAAGACACAAATGGCTCTGAGACTGATGGAGATAGTACACCCTTTCTGAAGAAGTTGTTCAGAAGAAGTACTCGGAAGCCTAAAGAGAATGTGTCAATCAGGAAGTATTCTCCTTCAGATCATTCATTATTCACGATGAGGCAAAGCAGCCGGCATGACTCCTCAGAAATGACTTCTGAGACACCCATAAAGAATTTCATCAAGAAGATCTCGAATAACTTGAACAGACTCACTGATGAGATTTTCAAAGACAAAATTCCTGAAGTAAGATTTTTAACAAATCTGAATTTAATAACTTTTCTTAATGATTATATAGGATTCCCTCATTGATGATGTCAGGGAGATTGCTAGTCAAGAAGAAATATCTATTATAGAAGATTTTAAAATTAACACCTCTATCGTTGACCGTTTTGCTTCCCAGCAGAAGCAGCCTAGGAAGAGACTCATGCAAGTAAAGCCCAAGTAAGATTTATTCTAAAAGATTCCCTCAAAAACTTATTGGCTAATGCTAGGTATAGAACATCACCAATCTATCGGGAAGTTGGTGAGGAGCTTGAAATAGATTCCTCCTTCGAAGTTGCACTCAAGGTGGATGAGTCTAACTTCTCATCAGTGAGCAATACTAATTCAAATAAAATAGAATTAACCTGTTCCAAGCCTCTTCGAGGCTTGAGAAAAGGCCAGAATATTGGCCTAAAAGTTCCTAAAAAGTAGCTAATTTACATTTTCTCGTGTCATAGCTAAATTTAAACGAAAAGAGGGGTTTTGGGGTTTTGGGGTTTTGGGGTTTTGGGG